AACCCCGTTTCCTACTTAAAATGCAAAAAAATTAGCCAGGGGTGGTGGGTGGCGTCTGTAATCCCAGCCACTCGGGAGGCTGAGACAGAGAATTGCTGAACCCCAGCGAGCAGAGGTTGCAGTGAGCTGAGATCGCGCCACTGCATCCAGCCTGGGCGACAGAGCGAGACTCATCTTAAAAAAAAAAAAAAGAAAAGAAAAGAAAAAGGAAATGACTGAATGAATGAATAAAGTACACATTTCTTTAGAGAGACTGTGCCTCTTCCAGAAGTATGTTGAGTCTAAGATATCTCAGAAATTAGTAACTCAGGATCCTCAATATGCTTCTGGAAAGACTTTTTGTCCTTTGCCAGTCTCATTGGCCAGAAGAGGTCTCATACCACAGCCTTTGGGATGAAAGTAATGAAAAATGTTAGAGCCTAGAAAGAATATATCGTGGACATAATTTCAATTTTCAGCATATTACATATCCATTTTCTCTATATAATAATGCCAAAATTGTCTGATGTTAGCTTTTAAGACTGTGCAATACAACTTTTCTTATTATTTGTGTATCCCGCGAAGCAAAAGAAAATCATTTCGGTAAAGACATAAATCCAATTCCTGTAATTCGAACACTTTCTTCATTGTAGTGAAGTTATGAGAACCCCTATGATAAGTCCTTTAGAGGGCACAGAATTCATCTACAAAGTCAAGAGTATGATAATGGGTACATTATCCTTCTCCCTATGCTTCTAACATTAAGAGGTCTATGTACCTTGATGAAAGCAAAAAGATAAAAAGAAAAAACCACTGAGAATTTCCTCTGTAGAGGAAGTATCTCAATTTTAACAAATTTCTTTTTTCTTTTTTTTTTTTTTTTTTTTTTGAGACAGAGTCTCACTCTGTCACCCAGGCTGGAGTGCAGTGACATGATCTCAACTCACAGTAGCCTCTGCCTCCTAGGCTCAAGGGATTCTCCTGCCTCAGCTTCCCAAGTAGCTGGGATTACAGGCGCTTGCCACCGCACCTGGCTAATTTTTGTATTTTTAGTAGAAACGGGATTTCACCATGTCTGCCAGGCTGGTCTCGAACTGCTGGCCTCAAGTGATCTGCCCGCTTCGGCCTCCCAAAATGCTAGGATTACAAGAGTGAGCCATTGCGCCCGGCATCAATTTTAACAAATTTCTTTGGACCATTTCAAACAGGCTATATACAAGTGCATAAAATATATGCAAATATTAACGAGTTTCTAAACAACTATTACTTTGAATACTTTGATTGGAATCTTCTTGATGGAGTCCATGGGGCTACAAACTTCTTTTAAAACTTAAATTTGTGTCTTAGTAACCCAAAAGGGAAGAAGTCTGGCCATATTTTGATATGCCTAGAAAATGTAGGCTAATCCACCATTATGTTTGAAAATGGATACTTCCCTCTGAAAGCTTTGTATCTTTTTTAAAAAGCTGTTTTTCTCAAATGGTATCCTGCGACAAACAACTGTACTAAAAGCACTATTTTTTTTCAAATATAAATATATTGGTATATTTTTTTCAAATATATGCCAATGTGTTCCCTTATTATACTTTGTCCAAATTAATATTTATTTACTTAAAGCAAAAGTCTAAACAGAAAAGATTTCTTAAATTACAGTAAATATGTTAAAAAAAAAAAAAAACTATGTAGAAGTGAACTAGTTGCAGGCCATATCATTAGGAGTATGTGTGTAGTGTATATGTGTGTGTGTGTGTCTTAGAGTGGTACAAGTGAGTGGTTTTTGCTATATGTAATAATTCAAAGAAATTCTTTGGAGTTACTTTTACTTTTTCCCCCTAAATGGGGTATATGTTTTTAAGATTTCTAAGGTTCTTAGTTTTTCTAAGTCTCATTACACTTCAGTTAAATACAAACCATAGAATATATTTCAAGAGTAAATATATTTAGTGGTAATTTTATATAAAAATATTTTTTTTCAATAATGGTTGCAAATTACATTGCATATCAGAAAAAATAGCTTCAATTAATAATCCACAAATGTCTTTCAATCCTGACAGAGCTCCCTTTTTAAATATTAAAGAGAAGAAATATTATAATATGTAAAATAACAAAGTGTCACTAAGTTATAAAATGTATTATTAACTCCTGTTATTTGCCCTGTGATAACATCTCAACTGATAAATAGTAGGAGTATATTATAGAGTTTTATGTTGTCATATATTTATTTTTCCTGGGAGGATTTTCAGATGGTGTCTTACATTGTTTTATTATTTTACAATAAAATAAATCAATAAGGCTAATAATAATACTGCATGTTGGGTACGTTAGCAAGGTAGTTTGCCAGGGTTGTTGTTTGCTCTCTAATTTTTTTCATAAAAATTGTCCAAAATAAAATAAAAAACTAGCATGATTGTAAAACATACTTCACAAATGAGGTAAAAATTATACCAACTCAGCATATTACATATTGAGTATAATTAACATTATTCATTTTCCAGCAGTTTTTGAGTAGGTGGCAATTTTGTAAATTTAAAATTTGTAAATAGTTTTACTCTGCATAAGAAAATAAATGACACCAGCTATAAAAATCAAGAGTAGGAAGGATTATCATAGGAAAATAGTTTCAGAGACAGTAATTACAAAACTGTATCAACAAGAAACGATGGCATAAGAAGATAAAGTAAATAGCTAGCTGGAAAAATGGTATGCCCATGATTCTAATGTACCAAAATTTGTGGCTAAAATTTTGTTTAAGGTATTTTAAGTTTCAGATTATTCAAGTCATCCTGAAATTCAAAAAGAAAAAAAAAAAGAAAGGAAAAGAAATTGAGAAAAGAAAACCCTCTTGAATTGAGTGCGGTTTCTTGGGAGGAGAGGTGTTCACCAAATGTTGTAAACAAAATCTTGCCAAAGTCAACCTTTACATTACTTATTACCTTCAAATTTGTTTCTCTGATTGTCAGATTTCATGCAAACTGGTTCCCTCCAGGAATCCCCCAGACGCTGTGGAGCACAGACCAAGTATGGTCTCCAAAAGACTTTTTGATTCTTACTATACTAAATACAGGTATGTCAGGATGGTCTTCTAAAATAAGGATTTAAAGTATCTAACCTATCTTATTAACATTAATGTGTAGCCAACACAGAAAAAGAACTATTCACAAGTACATCCATCTCTCCCTACATGCCCTCCTGCTTATCATGCATATCACTATAGTCAGAGTTAGAGGCCAACATATTTCCATGCTGATGATTTAAAGCCCCTCTCATTTGCAACTGATATCTGAATGTAACACTGTAGTAATTCCCACTGGGGAATTACTGTGCTGGGATGATTCACTACACATTACACTTCATTCAACTTTAAATGGCAATGAGATAAACAATTACCATTTGCCAATTACCTCATTTTCAATAGACACATTCAGGGTCAATGTCTACAGCCTTTTAGTTTTGGATGTTCAACTTCAAGAAAAAACATCCACATGAAACTGATCAGTAGCTCAGGTAATGAATAGTAGTACCCACAATCATGCAGGGTGAAATACAGCAGTGGTGATTTTGTGTGGAGCTTCAGTGGTGTGGTAGTGGCAATGGCAGGGACTTGAAGTTTTCCTACAACATTAATTACTATCATCTAAAAAAGACATAGGTAACAACATTACACCTCATACATAACATCTAACACATTTAGAATATAAAAGGGGAAAGAAAGAATGGCTAGATGTAAAGATAAAACACTTAAGAAGTGACCAAATATCCACACCAGCTACCATGATTAGGCTAGATGTCAAAAATAAAAACTGAACAAAATTAAAGTAAGTGATTCATTTCTCTCTCATGTAAACTTTTCCAACTATCTCTGAAAAATAAAAGTCCAAGACTTGGTTCCCACCCAAAGATAAGATTGTGTATTTAGACTACTGGAGAGGAAATGAAATTAGCATTACTCTCCCATATCAGCTCCAAGAAATATACAGAGTAAAAACAATGACACTGGAACCACTAAGAAGGACTTTAGGATAAATGAGTTTCTCTGAGTCTCAAATAACAGAAAAATGGAAGACAGTGCACAGAGGCAGGATAAGCTAGAAAAAAGATGAGGATATTCGTAGTGAAACCAACTGAGAGTATTTGTTAGGTTTGGTAGTGCAGACTCCTAATTACAGGGTTAAAGCCAGCTGGGAAGATCCACAGGGTCAAGTAGAGAGCTTGAGAAGCCTGAGAAGGAGTGGGGACCTGACCGTGGTCCTGAAAGAGAACAACTTGCAGATGATACTGAACCGTCTGCTAGCAACCACACAACATCCTATGTATTTTTTTCCTACTGTAGCTTAAATGAGCTAAATGTCCAATAATATTCGACCTCAAAAAAACTGAAAACTTTCTCTTATCACCAAATCAGTCATTATTCATGCCCTTCCTGAACAGCCTCTGCTTGAGTGTTAGGCTCATTTCAGGATTAAGAGAGACGCTATTTTAGCTCAAAAGCAGGAATCAAGGTTCTGACAAACTCACAACACTTAAAATTCTACAGAAAGCTTACACTTGGCAATCCTGCATTTCTTAAACTCAGTAAATCATACCTATCCGAAAGATATCACGGAATGAGGCTCCAAAAAAGAGCACGCCAAGCTCTCCTTTCAATCTAGGGAGACTTGAAACTCTAGAAAGGTAAGGTACACCGATATTCCCATTTTCACCTCAGAAAATTGCAACCAATTCCCTAAAGATACACCAAAATGCAGGTCCCATAGTGAATACGGGCGTCGGTCTTTCCTCAGGCTACGTTTCAGTTCTTACAAACCCAAGAACTCAAGAGAGTCAACTATTACACCAATACAAAGTGTTAATACTACACCAAACCATGAGGGGACAAATTTCTCCCCACAAAAGATACCTTGGCAAGAACAGAAGAAAATTCACTCTGTTGGTGCAGAAGGGAAGGTGGGAGCAAAAGTAATGTGTACGAGAAAAATCAGTCTCAGAAAATGACATACCACTCGTCCAAGTGTAAGACTTACGTGTTCCGTCAAAACGGGTGGCGATGGTGTCCAGGAAGGTGTTTTGCGGCGCCAGTAATCCTTTCATAACCGGCATTTTTCCAGCGTGGTGTGAAATTCTCCATCAAAGTTTGTCCAGAAGGATGGTCCGAAAGGAAAGTGCCAAGAAGGGAGAAGGGGAACCTGATGACGGCAGGGAAGGGGGACCCGGCCTGACGGCGGGGCCGACCAGGGGAAGTGGAAGGATGGAGGGAGAGAAGGAGAGAGTTCCAGCCGCCCTGGCTGTGGCAAGAGCAGCCCCGAGAGCGCTCCCCGAGCCCGCCCCGCACCTCCAGGCTCAGCCCGGCGCAGGCTCCCTCTCCCGCCCCCTCCACCCCCGCCAGCTGCTGAAACCCCCCCACAGTCCCTCCGCGGGCAACAGTGCCCGCCAGGCGCCGCCGCGCGGTGCCTCGCCCCCCACCTCGCCCGCCCGGAAAGAGCCGGCAGTGGCCCGGGGCGCCGCGCCCTGACCGACGTCTCTGGGGTCTGGGAGGGCGGCGCTGAGAGCTGGGAGAGGCTCTGAGCCTCCCGGTCTCCAAGGGGCGCCAGGAAATGAGAGCGAGCGCAACTCCCACCCCCCGGGAGCCAGTGAACAAAGACCCCTTTGTTCCGTCTCCGTCCCACTCCCGGGGAGACTGGAGTCCCGTGGGTGTGGTATTGGAGAAAGGGAGGAGACAGGTCGGAGCAGGTATCCGGCCTCGGCCTACAACTTAGGAGGGGGAGGCCCCCCAGTGGTGTCCAAGGGAGCAGAGGCAGCCAGGAGCCCCACGGGGAGGTGGCCCCCTTCCGGAGCACCTGCCATTGAGAGCCCACGCGACAGGGGCAGGGCAACCCGAGTTAGTTGTGAGGCCCATGCCCAGTCACTAGGGTCTTTTAGTCCAGGAAACTGGCCCCGAGCTCCAAAAAGGGGTGCTTCAGCCCTTCTCCCCTAATTGCCATTGGCCTCCCCAAGCCATCCCAAACTTTAAAAAAAAATAGCCTTTTAAACGAACAATGGATGGTTTCACAGTCTCCGGTAAAATGTGAATAAAGCATTTCTAGAAAAGTTTGCTATTTTTATTAATTTGCAAAATACCACTTAAGTAAAAACAGTAAGGCTGCCTTCCAAAAATAGTTTCAAACACAAATCCCCTACCCTGTCCCCCTTTTCCCCAGGCCCCACTCCCCAAGACTGACACCTCCAAGAAGAAAGCCTGGCGGTCGGCCAGGAACTGAAGGCGTCTCAGAAAACCAAAGTGGTCTCTCCCAGTCCTCTCCCCTGGCCCCCGCAGGGACTCCCTCTCCGCCGACGTTCTGCGAGGAAAGTCGCCCAAGCCTGCGGCACAGCCCTGTGGGGAGTGCAAGAGGACACCCCGAGCCTGAACTTTACAGAAAACTCTGCTAAGGGAGGCGGGGTGTGGAAGGGAAGTTGAGAGCCCCAGGGTAGAAAAACAAACGTAAGCCCAGGTGCTAGTGCACCCGGAAGGAAAGGAGGGGGAGAGCAAACAGGTGTCAGAGCCGCGGAGAGGGCAGCTCTGATCTCCAGGGACTCGAGCGTGACAGGAGGAGGGACCGAGCTTCCACCTCCCTTTACTGTGGGTAAGGGGGTTTCTTGTTTCAAATTCCCTCGGCCGTTGGGGCTTCGGGGGGGGACCCCGCGGGTTTCATCACGTCTGCCCTGGGCTCCGTGAGGGAGGGGGTGGAGAGAGAGAGGCGGCATCCCCCTCTCCCCGCCCCCAGGCCCCCTTTCTCGTGATGCACTTCCTGCGGCCGAGGATTCCCTTTGTGTTGAAATTCGAGAAGATCCGGCAGAGGCTCTGGGCTAGCTGGGCGGGGGCGTGCCGGGGAGGGGAGGGGATTCCGGAGTGGGCGGCGCGGGACGGCCATCCCAGAAAAGGAGCCATCAACGGGGGGTTCCTCGCGCAGCTGGACCCTGTTTCTGCCGCAGGTCCATCCCTGTCCTCCCCTCAATCCTTGTGTCCCAACCCAGCTTCGCTTTTCGGAAACCGAGCTCACGCGGGTGAAGTCCCCCACGCGGCGAGCGGATCGCAACTGCGGGTGGCTATGTGGCTCCGTCTTGGGCGGAGCTGGGGAGAAAAAGATGAGGGAGTCCCTGGTGTTTGGGTGGCACATCGTGTCCCAGAAAATTCAGGCTGTTGCTGCCGATGTAAAACGGAGATAAACGCCACCCGTGAATTGGCTCGAAGTTCAGGATGAAATGTATTAGTTGTGAGCCATGACTCGGGTTCATACAGTTTGCACTGTAGGGCCGTGTGTGTAAAAACTGTTTCCTCGTGGCCCTGGTCTATGTTGCCTAATGTATGAAATCACTGCACGAAGCAAGCCACAGAGGGGATTAAAAATGACAACCCAAAAGAAAGCCCCAGTTTCATGGCAAAAGGAGCCCGGCATTTATCATTCACTGTCTCCCCTCCAACACCTATTATGTGTCAGAAACTATGCTAGGCATGGCAAGATCCCTGCCCTAAATTCAAATTCAAGTCCTGTATCCTACTGAACTGCAGTAGATGGACCTCACTATCTCTTATATCCTTTGTCCACCAAGAAGTGTTTCTTAATGAAGACTGCCATCACCACTCTGGTCTTGAGTTCCAGGCCCTTTTTAAGCTCTGGCCCGAAAGCCTAATGTTCATCTTAAGGGTTTGTGGCATCGATGAGACTAAATTGCGCCATTAGAACATGACCTCCATCCAAGTTTAAGTATATTAAATCCCTTTAAACATGTTTTGCCACCGAGAAATCAAAGGCCATGAAAGAAGCACCATGGGAGTCTAGAGTTTTCACTGTCATCTGCCCCAAATCACCAAATCTCATGGGCTTTCCTTAGAGGAAATTTTCCCACTGTCCCCACTTATTGACACAAAAAAAACCCAACTCATTTTATTGCAGATTCCTTCTCCACTACAGGGATGTGATCTTTCTCTATGGCCTAAACCAGACAATGCTACAAGAATATAGGATAACCACATAATAGAGTAAACGTAATGCCCTCATTAAAAAATTGATGTTTTTAATATCAATATTTTTGGGGCTTTGGAGGGATAGCATTAGGAGAAATACCTAATGTCGCTGGGTGCAGCAACCCAACATGGCACATGTATACCGATGTAACAAACCTGCACATTGTGCACATGTATCCTAATAATAAAAAAATTCTTGGCGGGGCACAGTGGCTCACGCCTGTTATCCCAGCACTTTGGGAGGCCGAGGCAGGCGGATCATGAGGTCAGGAGATCGAGACCATCCTGGCTAACACTGTGAAACTCTGCCTCTACTAAAAATACTAAAAATTAGCTGGGCGTGATTGTGGGCTCCTGTAGTCCCAGCTACTCAGGAGGCTGAGGCAGGAGAATGGCGTGAACCCGGGAGGCGGAGCTTGCAGTGAGCTGAGATCGTGCCACTGCACTCCAGCCTGGGCAACACAGCAAGACTCCGTCTCAAAAAAAAAAAAAAAAATCATGTTCACAGAAAATATCATTTTATTTGACTTTAAAATGTAAAGGAAGGCACAAAATCCCTATATCCAGACCAAGGTACTCTATTATGTACTACAGAAGGCCTCTTTAGGTAAAACCAACCTAGGCAAAGTTCACTTATATAATAAACCACCCCAAACCCTATTGACTTAAAATGACAATATTGTATTTTGCTTTCAGATCTCCAATTTTTACAGGGATCAATGTGGCAGGTTATTTCTGAGTACACCTAACCGGGAACTGGAAAATACACTTGTAAGATAGTTCACTCGAAGTGATGGAAATTTGGTGCTGGCCGTCAGCTGGGAGCTCAGCCAGTGCTAGAGCCTTGGGACTTCAGTTATTGGTGTGGATCTCTCCAGGAACTACTTGGGCTTCCTCACAGCATGGTGGTTTTGAGAGTGTCTGAAAAGACAGGAAGTGGGAACTGCCAGTTTCTTAAGGCCTTATGTAGAAACAGCCAGATTGAAAGCAGGCGCAGAACCCAGGTTAATCAGAAAGGGTGAAAAGTCCAACCTTTAGATGGAACAAGTATCAGATAAAATGGAGCCATGTTTTAAAATCTTCCCATCAATTTGTTAGTATTTTGAGTTTCAAAGGAAATTACATCATAGTAGCATTCCTTAATGTGATTAAAAATCCATTTTTACCTATTCTTTGTGTCTCCATAAGCATTTGAGATTTATGAGTACAAGATCTGGGTTCAACTCTATAATTCCTTATAGGGAAAGTATAATACACAAAAGAGAAAATACACATTAAATTCACTTAAGGGTTATAAGCTACAGATAAAGCAATTTTTATTATTATTTTCTCTAAGACTGACTCATTAGCATTTGATGTTGTCTTCTCAGACTGAATGGAACTGGAAAGAGTTTCAGGGCTCTCCGTATTAGTGGGATGGTTTTAGGTCCACTTCATGTGTATTTTCTAATTATAGCATTCATCCAATACCATGACACAAAATAGCTGCAAATACCTTATTGATGCATATGTATTTGACTGTAGGCACTGAAAATATTCTTAAACTTTTTCTGGCAGCAAGAATTTTAGCCTTCATAAGAAGGAAATATTTTAATTTACAGGCATCTACTCAGATGTATTGAGTTCCAATTTTGTTTCAACCACTTATCCCCTTTGTCATTTAAACTTTGTGAGTGTCCATTTCCTTAACCGTAAAACTGGAATAATAATATTTTCCCTACTTCCTCCACTGAGTAGAAGAAAATATTTGTGAAAGCCTTCGAATCTCATAATATGTGGCATACAATAAAACAGATGATAATAATCATCGTTCTCTTTTTTTGTATCCTAACATATCTAATACAAGTTGTTTATCCACAATAAATATTGTTGACCAACTATTACAATGTATGGTCCTGTTAGAACACATTTCTGTATTAATAATTTGTTACAGCCTATGATTTGTGAGCTTTTCCTTCCAAATATGAATGACTTTAGAAGCTCAGAAGGAAAATCAAGCTAGTTCATTTCTTTGACTAATGCTTTCAAGTTGTTCTGCTCTAATATCCAACCAAGCTGGTTTCTAGTGATATGCCTCTGCCTCCTGCTCCCCAGCGTTCACTGC